ACAGTTTTTATTCACCTGTCCTTAAAATTGACTTCTATTTGATGTTACTCAAAATGAATTGATTTTTATTCTGACTTCCATAGTGTAGCAATCCATTGTAAGATTATGCTTGATTATCACAGTAATCACAGTGACTTTTCAGGAATGTTTTGTGGAAAACTGCAGGTTTATTTCTTACTGTTCATAACTGGTAATAAACTCAAACAAATATACTAGTTTTTCTAATGTTCATTTTTAAACATAAATGCCCACTGCTCAGACTACTTTAGTGTTCTTGGAAACTTAATAATTCAGATATGTTATTAAAACATTTTTAGCCTTCATTCTGTATAAAGAGCTGTACTACCCATTAGTGGGTATAGTAGTGAAAAATGGAAACATAGTCTCACAGATTTAAATTCAGAATTGTTTGCAGAAATTCAAAATTAGAGGCTCCTAAAACAAAAGGAACTTTTCATAGGTCAATTTTAACTATTTTAAAATTTATATAGATGTCAGAATAAGGCAAATTTAAATGTATGCTTTATTCGTGTATTTGGAACTTTGTATTTTATCTGGTGTTACAATAGTTTTTTTTTTTTTTTAAATAAGAGCTAATTTGAACAGAACACAGTTAAGAAAGTCATAGTGGAACCAGAAATACTGCTCACACAGTCAGTGTTAACATAACTATAGCATTTTTAATCTATATGCTATTACTGTTAATCTCACTTGATATTACTGACCAGCCTTATACATAAGTATTTTTAAAATTCTTATTCTACTGCAAAAGAAATTCAGACTGGAATACTAGGTGATAAATACATGGGTCATTACAAAAATTTTGAGATACACAAAAACCATAAATGCAGACTTTACACAGATGGAAACAATTGAAGCCCTCCCAGCAACACTGATAAGCCAAACAAGTTGAAACTTGCACAGATGGATCAGAAAGGATGCTGTCTGCTGTGTTTCTTGGAAGTGAAATAATGACATAGTTTGTCTCAAAACTTTCATAGTAACCTACATACAGCATTATTCAGGAATTACGTGATTCAGAAAAGATTTTCAGAGTGATGGAATTTTAGTGTGTTCTTTCCTCTTCATCAGATAAATGATGTTTGGCTTATCTCTGATACCTCTGTAATAAACAATTGAGTTGGCTATGAAAAAAACAGTAAATTTTTATATTTTTCACTATCGTAAGTAGTATCTTATTTACCAAATGTTGCAGTGCTCTGAGATATATATACACGCTTTGTATGTATGCATCTTGTTAATCCTAATTTTAACAAAAATTAAAATTATTTTATTTTGATACATAATGATAATGCCAGTGTGTTTTCAGATTTCTCTCACACAACTTCAGGGTATAATCTAAAATCAATCAGATATTGTAAAGTTAACTAAATATTAGAAGAAAAGTTTAAATGACCAGATAGGTGTTGAGATTTGTCTGCCACAGAGGAGGAATATAAGTTAGCCTTGCCTAATTTAAGCTGTTGACAAATAACTATGGTAAATTATAAAACAATGAAATATTCAGTATAATAAGTATGGTATTTAGGTTTGATACTATAACTTCTTTTAATGTAATTTTGAGCCGGTTTACACCTGCAGTTTTCAGGTATTCTGTGTTGTGGTGGTTGAGCCTAGATTTTTGTTATACCTTCCTGACCTCCTCTGGATTGCAGGTCAGGCTCAGTAATAAGATTTGCTACCACTGGGTGGCAGTGTTGATTTCTGGAAAACCAAAAGGAAAGCTATTTTGGTTTATGTTCAAAAAATTCATTTGAGTGAGAATTCAAATATGAAAGTCTATGTTTAGTGAAATAATAGTGAAAATCAAATTTATTAAATTATTCAACTTATTGTCTGTGTAACCAATCTAATTTAACTTGATTTTATGATTTTGTGGTGTTTAATTTGATATATAATGAAATGCTGCTTTAATAGTTTGTGGCATAGAGTAAATTATTTTAAAATCATTGGCAATTATTTGTTAAAGAATAACTTCTTTATAATTTGTGAGTAAAATGAAATTTAGCATTTTTAAAATGTGGTAAATGTGCATAAGGAGATGAATAGTACAGATTATTGTGACATATCTTACTTTTTTTCCTTTTTTTCCCTCTCTTTTTTAAAAGGCAAGGCATCCCTCTGTCACCAAGGTAGAGTGCAGTGGCACCATTATGGTTCACTGCAGCTTCAAGCTCCTGGGCTCCTACAGTCCTTCTGCCTCAGCTTCCTGAGTAGTTAGGACTATAGTCTGGCCTTTTTTTTTTTTGATAGAGTGCTATGTTGCCAGGCTGGTCTGGAGCTCCTGGACTCAAGTGTTCCTCCCACCTCCATGTCCTTTTGCTTTTTTAAGAGAACATGTGTAAACCTTTTGTAACAGAAAAGTATCTTTTAATAGTTTTTCTTCCTTATTTTCTTTATATCAGTTATATTTTTTAATATTCTTTAAAGAATTTTTTTTTCCAGTGACTCACTTGGTTTTCATTTGTCTCTGCTTCTCAGAGAATTTCTTTCCATTTATGTCACACTTATTCCCCAAGTCTTTATTGCCTTATCAATAATCAGTAATCTATAAAGATTACATAAAAGATATTACATATTTCATGATACTAGCAACCTGAAATTTATTTTTAATCAGATGTGAAAGACAAATCATTAAACTTAAAAAAAATACAGTAATAGAATCTAGTGGTTAATTTAAGTAAATTGTTTAAATTTACCTGTGAAAACCTCCAGGTAGATGGAGAAAATTTTTATTGTTTCTTACCCTCATTTGTTTAGTTATATTTCCTACAGCTGAAATTTTCAAAAAGCTGACAATAAATTATATGCTTTTGCCAGGTTAGAATTGTTAAATACTTGATTACTAAAATTTACCCTAGACATACGTAGCTTAACATCAGATGTGGCATGAGCTGTGGAATCCTGTTTGTTTGCCCCTCCCAGCTCTTCTGCTTTGGGTGATAGCCAGGGAGACAGACTGCGCCCCTGTTTCCTTCTTTAAAAATCTGGGAATATAGCACCAACTTACTTTTCTTTCAAATCAGTGAACACATGAATGATGGTACTTGGCATTAAATAAGCACTTTTTAGTTTTATTTATTAGATCATAACTGTGTATATTACTGCATTTATGGGGTACAATGTGCTGATTTTATATACAATTTGGAATGTTTACATCAAACTGGTTAACATAGCATTCGCCTCACTTATTGTTGTGTTTAGACTTTTATATTCTTAATATATTTGACATGTACCCTTGCAATATGCACAGTAGGTGAGGTCCCACTGATACTCTCCCTCCACCTGTCCACCACCCTCCCCTCCCCTCTCCCCCCTCTTCTCCCCTTTTTTATGGGCTATAATTGTGTTTTATCTTTCATATGAAAGTGTGGGTGATTATATATTAGTTTCACAATAGTATTGAGTACATTGGATTTTTTTTCCATTCTTGAGATACTTTACTAAGAAGCATATGATCCAGCTCCATCCATGTAAACATAAAAGAGATTAAGTGTCCATCTTTTTTTATGGATGCATAATATTCCATGATATACATATACCACAATTTGTTAATCCATTCATGGGTCGGTGGGCACTTGGGCTGCTTCCATGACTTGGCAATTATGAATTGGGCTGCAATAAACATTCTGGTGCCAATGTCTTTGTTGTAAAGTGATTTTTGGCCATCCGGATATATACTTAGTAGAGGAATTGCAGGATCAAATGGCAGGTCTACTTTTAGTTCCCTCAGTGTTCTCCAAACTTCTTTCCAGAAGTATTGGTTTGCATTCTCACCAGTAGTGCAGAAGTGTTCCCTTCTCTCCACATCAATGCCAACATCTATGGTTTGGGGATTTCGTTATGTGGGCTAATTTTACTGGAGTTAGATGATATCTCAAAGTGGTTTTGATTTGTATTTCTCTGATGATTAAAGATGATGAGCATTTTTTCATGTGTCTGTAGGCCATGAGCCTGTCTTCTTCAGAGAAGCTTCTTTTCAAGTCCCTTGCCCACAATGAAACGGTATCACGCGTTCTTTTCTTATTAATAAGTTTGAATTCTCTGTGGATTCTGGTTATCAAACATTTGTCAGAAACATAACTTGCAAATATCTCCTCCCATTCTGAGGGCTGTCTGCTTGCTTTACTTACTGTGTTCTTGGCTGTGCAGACGTTTTTTAGTTTGATCAGATCCCAGTAATATATTTTTGATGTTGCTTCACTTGCCCAGGGAGTTCTCCTCCTCATAAAGTATTCTCCCAGATCAGTTTCTTAAAGTTACTCCTGCATTCTCTGCAAGAATCTTTATAGTTTCATGTCTTAAGTTTAAGTAAATCTTTTATCCAGTGAGAGTCAATTTTTGTTAATAGTGAAAGGTGTGGGTCCACTTTCAGTCTTCTACAAGTCACCGGCCAATTCATCTAGCACCATTTGTTAAATAATGCCCATACTACCCAAAGCAATATACAGATTTAATGCAATCCCTATTGCGTCACCACTGTCATACTTTAAAGATTTGGAAAAAATAGTACTTAGTTTGATATGGAATCAGAAAAAACATTGAATAGCCAAGACATTACTCAGAAATGAAAACAAACTAGGAGGAATCATGCTACCAGACTTCAGACTATACTATCAGTCTTTAGTGATCAAGACAGCATGGTACTGGCACAGAAAGGGAGAGGTAGATGTATGGAACAGAATAGAGAACCATAAGATGAACCCAGATACTTATTGTCATTTGATCTTTGATAAGCCTATCAATAAGCACTTTTTAAAAGATGAATATAATTTAACAAATATTTGTGGAGGGATGTGGTAGAAAGGAGACTATAGAAGGGATGGGAGATTAGAGCAACCAGTTTTGTTGAGTGATTAAAACTATTAACACATTTAATAATCGAATGGCCTAGTATTACAGTTTATTAAATCATGAGTCTTTCAAAATAATAGATACATGTTAAATCATTGATATTTCCTCTCCCTTTCTCTTTCTAGGGTACTTACAGAAAGCTACAATGGAAAAGTCCTGGATGCTGTGGGCCTTTGTGGAAAGATGGCTGATAGCTTTGGTGTCATGGTCTTGGGCTCTCTGCCGTATTTCTCTTCTACCTTTGATAGTGACTTTTCATCTGTATGGAGGCATTATCTTACTTTTGTTAATATTCATATCAATAGCAGGTATTCTGTATAAATTCCAGGATGTATTGCTTTATTTTCCTGAACAGCCATCCTCTTCGCGCCTTTATGTCCCCACGCCCACTGGCATTCCACATGAAAACATTTTCATCAGAACCAAAGATGGAGTACGTCTAAATCTTATTTTGATACGATACACTGGAGACAATTCACCCTATTCCCCAACTATAATTTATTTTCATGGGAATGCGGGCAACATAGGACACAGGTTACCAAATGCATTGCTTATGTTGGTTAACCTCAAAGTTAACCTGTTGCTAGTTGATTATCGAGGATATGGAAAAAGTGAAGGAGAAGCAAGTGAAGAAGGACTCTACTTAGATTCCGAAGCTGTGTTAGACTATGTGATGACTAGACCTGACCTTGATAAGACAAAAATTTTTCTGTTTGGTCGTTCCTTGGGAGGAGCAGTGGCTATTCATCTGGCTTCTGAAAATTCACATAGGATTTCAGCCATTATGGTGGAAAACACATTTTTAAGCATACCGCATATGGCCAGCACTTTATTTTCATTCTTTCCAATGCGTTACCTTCCTTTATGGTGCTACAAAAATAAATTTTTGTCCTACAGAAAAATCTCTCAGTGCAGAATGCCTTCTCTTTTCATCTCTGGACTCTCAGACCAATTAATTCCACCAGTAATGATGAAGCAACTTTATGAACTCTCTCCGTCTCGGACTAAGAGATTAGCCATTTTTCCAGATGGGACTCACAATGATACGTGGCAGTGCCAAGGCTATTTCACTGCACTTGAACAGTTCATCAAAGAAGTAATAAAGAGTCATTCTCCTGAAGAAATGGCAAAAACGTCATCTAATGTAACAATTATATAATGTTTCCCTTTTTGATTAATGCATTCTATTTTAATTTGTGCAAAATGATAAAGAATGTTTCTTTTAGAAGTGTGTTGTGTCTGTACTTGTCTGAAGAGTGACATTAAACTTTGAAAGGACTTCCGTGCTCCTTTATGACGATCCGAATAGTTTTTTACATTTGAAGAACTATAATTCTTGGGATTATTTCATACATTTTCATCGAAACTTTCAATGTGGTTATGTATTCGTATCTTTAGTTTAATATGTCAATATAATAGAGATTATCAAAAGTTTCCTGTTGTTAAAGTGATACAATCTGTGTTACGCAGATTAATAGTTGAGTGTGGAAGGAGATATGTAAACAAGAAACCTTTGGGTATTGTTTCTTAAGTAAATATTGGGACAATCATGGTAAACAAACTTAGTTCTGTAACTGCATTTTTAAACTTACAGTTAAAATGAAATGCATGATGGTATTTTATTCCTTAAATTATGCAATGCAGCATTTTAAATGTAAATAGCACTGGTCATATACTGGTGTATATGATTACCTGAGTTATTTCTATTTTTATGTAAACTCTTACTTTGCTTTTGGTGAGAAGTGAAATTGAGGCCTATGTGCAGGTTGCCCTTAAGTTTTGCTCTGGAGAATGCTGAGATCTAGCTTTTTCTTACAAATAAATGCGACCCTGTTTTCAATATAAACGTACCATGTTTTTGTTAGGTACTGTCAAGATCATGGCACGCAGAAACAGAAATTTAACATTTTACTGCGGCTTTGATGTGCATATTGGAACTTTTTAACATTCGTAATTTTGGTGGCAAAGAGAATCTTAGCCTCTGTCAGTTTTGTAAGTCTACAACTGAACCACCAATAGCAGTCATAGTGAAGATTAGAACTGCTTAAGAATTAAATTAGGAAGTTTTACCATTACATGGGTGTATATACTATTTTATAAAAATTCTTACATTTGATTTTTAAGCCCCAGTAACCCACCAAAGGCAACATACACTTACTGGACTTTTTGACAATAAAAGTTACAAAAACAAAAGCCAAAAAAAAAAAAAAAAACCCTTATGTTCTTGATTTAGTATTTTAGTTACTGTGAAATACAACTCCCACATCAAAAGACAGTTTTAGGAAATCTTATTTATTTAAAACATTTTACATGTGGGAATATAGGAATTCTGGAGCTTTTTAACATAGAGTCTATTACCATATTTATCAGTTAAGTGGCCATAGGTGGGAAGTAGTATTTAGACGTAATAGAGTAAGAAAAATCTTACTTAGAATCAAAAAGCCCCTTGAAACTTGCAGGATTTACCTTACTAAAAATATAAGCTATGAGGCATAATTGTGCCAAGTTGTTTTAAGCAGGCCTCAAAATTTAAATGTAATTTAGCTCTGTATATTAATATGTCAGCTTTAACATATAATATTTTGCATATTTTAGGTATATTTATCAGCTTTCTGCAAGCAACTAGAGCAGAGAAATAAAAGGTCAATAATCGTGACCTTAATTTAAAACTATTTCCATGGAGATAGGGCTAGAATTACTTTTGCCAAATGACATTCTTATGATTCACTTTATGCCAGTACTTAGAGAAAATAAATTATAGCAAGTATGATTTCTAAAGAATGTTTTTCTATAAATTATTAATTGTAAAAAGTCTTGCTTTTTAAAATGAGTCGGTAACTCATATCATGGAAGGTGTATTTTGTATGTATAAATTCACCTCAATTAAAAGCTACTTTTCATCTTGTCAGTCCCTTGCTATGTAGAATGACTATTTTAAATATTAATATATTAAAAAGAAAATACAACATAATGTATATTTAGACATGAGATTACACAGCATACCTTATACTTGTATCATTCTTTAAAGTTTACAAAGTACTTTCTTAGATTTTCATGTAATTATTTAGTCTGCTACACTACAGAGGAATTTATCAACTTTAGTTGTAAATACACAGATGAGGTATAAAAGCTCTTTCTTCATTAGTATTTTGCTTTTATGCTGCCTTTTTTTTTTTTTTTGAGGTACTCCAGGTTTGTAAATGATTTTTTTTTTTTTTCTTTTAAGCCAGGAGCTCAGAAATTGTCAAGTCCTTATGTACCACCTTCTACCCTCACTGTCTTCTTAGGTTAAGGAGCCTTTCTGCCATAAAGGGCAGAAGCTGTGTCTAGTCTTGGAGTACACCTTTCTGTACTAGTTTCTGTATTTCATTCAATGGGAAGGGGCTGGAAAACAAACACTAATCCGGAGTCCATGAAACCCATGGCATTTGTTTTTAAAAATATCTCTGATTTTGTGGCCTAAGCTATTGGTCTTAGTAAAACACAACTTTCTCAAGAGTCACTTCTTCATTTTTAACTCTCATTGCTTGTGGGAATGGAAATGTATGTGTGTATCTTATGTACTAATTTTTGGTTCATTTATATAAGGGCAGCTATAGGAGTTTATAAATGAATTTTAAGTTAAGCTACTGTAAATTTGGAAATTCTAGAATGATCTTAAATATGGCAAGATACAGTTCATTTAGAGTAAAATCCAATATTCATTATTTTAAAGGGAGTTATTAGAGGGTGGGGAGCAAATTGGTAAAAAAATCATAGGGTTATACGAAGAATACTGCAAAATGAAAGAAGGAATAATTTGTGTCAGGATACAAATAATTGAAGAGTAAAATCAGACTCAGTTCTTAGATTTAGATATGGGATATAATTAACTTACAAGGTCTGTGAAAAGGAAACTCAGTGCAAAACAGAGCATTTGAAAGCAAAGCATTTTCATCAAAGAAAGTGACAGGGTACCTGACATTGCAGCTACCTTGTGTTTTTACAAATACTTTTTGACTGTAAAATTATTATTTTCAAAAAGATGGGATTGTGAATTTTGTTACTGCAAGGCAGCTTTCATCTATGATGAACTGTAGACACTTGATTTACACAACTCACAGCTTTGGCAATATGTCACTGGAGTGATACCTTGTTGAAAATCCGTGCCATCTCATGCTTACGTGTTCAGCTCTTCTTATTTTTGTAAGATGTGGCTTGGGGAGAATAGGTTTGGGGCAACCAAAGCATGAAGGCCATATTCAATTTTGTACAAATTATTTATAAGCTCAGACAGCTGAAGAGTAGTTTATATTTGGGGAACACCTCCCTCCTGGGGAAGGGATGTCACAGAAGTCACTTTTTAATTTGGATCGTGATTGGGATGCTGGTATCTCCCACTGATCTTTCCACTCTTCCCTTTCCCTATTATGTTTGATAATTATATTTTTAAAAACTGTGAAAGGAAAAATTTGTCATAGATAACACTTTTGGATTATCCACTTAAACTTATGTATTCGCATATTACTCAGGAAAAGATGGAAATGACAGAGCACAGGCATCTATTTTTTAAATGGCTAGGGTAGAAAATACACTTCTGTTTATTCTTATTACCTACCATATCTGCATGTCATCTCAGCTTACTAGAAATACTATATTTATTTGTATGGCAGAATAAATGCAGTCATCCTAGTACTAGTCAACACATTCTTGCCAGATGGCGCAAATATACCTCCATTTATATTTTGTGTCTTTAAAATGTAGTTGAAAAGTAGGACTACGTATGAGACACTTTTTTTTGCAAAAAGTGCCATATATGTGTAACAGGTGAGTGTGTGTTTAACATAATTTATAACAATTTCTGTCAGTACAGCATATGCAGAAAATTTAAGTTATTTTCAACATTCAGGTATGTTCCAGATAAAATAAGTTAATCCAGTTTCATAATGTAAATCATATTTTTTTGTTATTTGCCATCTTTTATTTGAAGCAGTAATTAAATTTTATAAGAAAATTTGAATGTTACAGTACATTGTGTGCTAACTATGGCAAGCAAACATTTACATTTGGTTTTTTACAATAAATTTATTTTAAAATATACTTTCTATTTTTCTGTACTGACATATGCAATAAATTGGTACATTAAAAGTTTGGTTAATGTCTTAAGATAGTTTGTATTCAGTCTTTTTTTAAAAAATATTTTTGTTAATCTAAATGTTATGGGTAGGATATTAAAGTTTCTTTAATGGTTAAATAAAATTCCTGAAATTTCACTGAAATTAATATCATTCTAATAACGGTGTGGATAAAAAGTACAAGTTAGGTTTATGTTTACTTTGCCCAGTGGTGTTATCCTCCTACAGACATTTAATCTATGCTAATATTAAAAACAGTTTTTTTATATCTGAACCACCAAGGCCCCAGTGCATTTCTTTAGTTCAATGAGTCAGGAATGAATGGGTTTTAACTACTCATATTGCCTTCAGATCAGTACCTTTTGAACAGTTCTGTTATTTTCCTTGTCATTTGTATTTGAGTGGCCTGATACTCAGTGTGTAGAGGTCTATAGTGTGCTCTGCCTGGTGAGAAGCTGGCATGCTTGAGTGGTGTCAGCATGACTCGGATAATAGGAAGTATGTGACAACCTCAGATCGTCTTCTGAAAGTGGAGATGGAACATTCACTATGGGAGGCCATCTTTCCATGTTCAGATTTGATTCACATTAGATTTCTTGCAAGTATGTACTTCCCTAAAAGGGAAGGAAGGGAGCTATTTACCTCTCTGTGCCACCTGAGGATACAGGAGAAGCTGTCTGCACGCCAGGGAGAGCCCCCTTCCCAGACACCAGCTACTGGCACCTCCATCTTGGCCTTTCTCCCTCTTAGAAATGAGAGAAATGACTTCCTGTCGTTTGAGCCTCTATTTTTAGACCAGTAGTGTTTAGACCACTATTTCTTATTTTTAAAAGGTACATTTATTCACGTACCCATTTCATTCTTCAAAACTATACATGTTCTGTTACTAAAAATTATCAACAATCAGATCTAGCTAGAGAACATAATTCTCTTACTCTAAGGGAGGAGGGAGGAGTTTATTTCCTGTCTCTGAGTATAAATCCTGGGTGATTGTTGAATGTGTTAATGTCATTGAATCCTTGCAACAATCTTTGAGTAATTTGTAGTCTCATTTTAAAAGAAACAGGCTCAGAGTGGTTTGGTGACATGTTCATGGTTACATAGAAAGGAACCAAGATTTAAATCCAAGTCTCTGGATTCTAAATCTAGGACAACTGTACATTTGCTCATTTACTCAATGAAACAGTTTGAAAATTTTTATCATATTGAAATAGATTTGAAACATTGAATTAGAATTACAAGTAGATTAGTTCTTCTGGATTCCCAAAGAATTCATTACGAACTGAAAATTAGAAGTATTATTGGGTAATAAACTTCCATTTTCTTCAAGGTAGTTACATGTATATTCCTGCAGGAAAAACAAGAAGTTATCTCTTAAGACTTATCCAAAAAATGTTGGAGTCATCTTTATAAAGTGATTCCTGCACTTTTGAGACTAATCTTGCTGTTTCTTTTCCAGTAAGATTTTCTTTTCTCAACCTTTCTACTGCTACCATGCCAGTCCTTGAATTTATTTTGTAATATCTTATTTTCATTGAGTGCTCAAATTGAGTGCTTATATTCAAACTACTGTTCTAACTTCTTTTTTTGTCATATATTCTTAGTAGTCTGTGAACTTGTTTTACTTCTCCTTCCTTGACCATTGCCCCTGTTCTAACATGTCAGAAAACTATGCCATTCCCCATCCACAGTTTTTAATGGCTAATTTCTCAGTAGATCAAAGT